ACTGATTCTTTTTGTACTTAAATTAATGGAAGTGCCCACCCTATTTTAATAGGATTCTATAAAAGCTAAACTATCTACATGAGGAAGTATGGAAAAATGGACCTGTAAGGAATAAAGCAAAGGAAGGTGGGAGGACAGTGACAGAAGGTATGAGATAAGCTGACGTGCATGTTGCCAATCTGATTCAGAGTTTTTGTTTGTGTGTGTTTTCATTTTAGTTTGACTTGACACCATAGCAACTACCAGTGTACAGCCAGTGCGTATAATGCTATCAGTGCTGCCTGCCTTCTGCCCGAGTCTTAGAGGAGAAAGAGTTCCACAAATACAGTCATGTCTTAAGTGGCCACTAGTAGATGCAAAGCCATTGGCGGTAATATAAATACAAATACTTTTTCACAAGAAATGCTAAAATGCTACCAGCAACCAAAATAAAGGTGCAGACTTTGAATGATGATGCCATTGAGAAGCCTCTAAAAACAATGCAGTGTGGGCTGCAAGTGGCAACACTCTCGGAAGAAAATCCCTTGAAGGATTCAGTTAATACATATGGATGAACCAAAGCCCACTGAGCCTTAGAATCATTCTCAAAGGATTTGGGATGAATATGATACCAGTGAAGCATTTCTAACAACGTGCATTACTAAATTCTAACAGCTCATTGACCTCGGGCATCTCTGCTTTTCTCACCCCACCTCTCCCTCTGAAAGAACAACCATTCAAGTTGCATACATACATTTCTTACAGATTTAGCTATGCAATATCCACCTCCGTGCTTCCCAAAGAAAATACTGGTGTCTTTTTATAGTTGTTATCAATACAGAGCATAGATTCCCACAAGATCAAGGATGACTTTTTAAAGAAACAGCAAGATGGCCTGCTATGCAAATATAAGCAATTATTTGTCTACTCCAATACAAAGCACAAGTCTGGGATGAGGCAAACAGCTCCAACACCCCAGCTCTCCTTTCTAAAGAAAGCTCCAGGAGCTCTCGAAGTTGCCAGAAGGCACAGCCTCTCTCAGCTAGCCTGGGTTCCTGCGTGGGAGTGAATTTGTCCTGGTCCCTATTCTTCTGTTGATATTTTCTTCATTCATTGCTAAAAAAAGATTCTCAGCAATACCAGGACTTTGGATACATCTAACTGCTTTCAGATTACAAGTAAAAGATCTACATGCAAGAAACAGAAACAGAGAAATCATCCAAAATTTTCCATTCAGTCCTCAGCCCACTTTAATCTGGTTCATGTTGCTGAAACTTTTCTCGGTGGGTGGAAAGCACCTCCAAATTGCCAGGCTTTGTATCTTCCCTCCTGTTTTTCAAGAAGTATCACCCAGTGCATAATCCACAGGCCAGACACTGAGAGATGCCAAGATGAGCAGACAAGCTCTACTAAAAACATCATTTCATGCAGACACATATGACTGTGATAAACAGACAAGGCAAATACTCAAAATACCATATAGAAATAATTTTTTAATAATTTCAGTTGCTAAAGAATAAGGCATGCGGGGCGGGGGGGGGGCGCGCGGGGAGGGAGGTGGAGGCAGGAGGAAATAGCAATCCTATTTACATGCCTAACTCCTTCCACTCTACGCAATCCTATGTCGTAGGTGTCCACAATGCCATTTCATAGATGAAGAAACTGAGTCATGTCGACAGTGATTAAGCAGAGTTGGGATCCTACCTGGATGTATCTTACTCTAAGAAGATGTGGCAACTGAATGAAGTATGAATGACAGGTAGAAGCAGAAACAAGGGAAGAACCCTTGAATAAGATAAGCAAAGACAGAAAGCACTAAAACCACAACTGGTTACTATAAGAACAGCACAGCAATTAAAGGCTTATTTAAAAAAATAAATAAGCCAGCTGCCATTCGTTGAGATGATACCGCCTCATGGTGAACCATGAGTGTCGCATGTGTTTCAAAGGCTGCAACCTTTCAGAGGCGACCATCATGCTTTCTTCCAAGGTGCCTCTGGGTGGATTTGAACCACTCACCTTTACAGACCACCCATTAATTAAGTAGTAAATGAAAACCTTTTCCAATGTTACATTTAATAAAACTTTTGTTTTCAAACTCCTCCCACACATACTCAGCATCCGCATCTCTTAAAAGAAGTCTGTACATCGTTAACGTTGGTGAGCGCCACTGAGTCAGAACCAACGCATAGCAGGTTTTCAGAGGCACAGAATTACATGGGAGGAGACTGCCCATCCTTCTCCCACAGAGCAATGTGAATCTGAATTGTGTGCCTTTTCTATTCGGGGAAATTTCTTACCACTAGGGCCACCAGAGCTCCCTATAGCCCAGGATTATTTTGTGTGAAGAACAACTGCACAATCGGGAAAGCAGATTAGATTACAGGAAAAATATCTAAAAATTCTTAAAACTATTGATATTTTGTGGATAAAAATAATGTTACTAAGAAGGTGCCTTAAAAGAAAGGCTTGTTCAGATCAAAAAATGCAGCAGATGCCTCTTTTCTAGAGGATTTGAGAAGGGGCCCAGGAGAAACCCAATATTTGAACCAATTAATAAGTAAAGCCTGAAAAAACTTTTCAGATCATTAACAAATAAATACAGTTTATTAAATATATTGTGTTTCCATCTACTTTCTTTTTACCATTTACAAATACCTTGAAAAAAAAAATACAAGGTCAGTCCTATCATTAAGTACAACAATCCAGCCCTACTCTATAAAGCGTTTTTAATAAGCAAGAATTTTGTGGCTATGCACACTAACTGCTAAGGAGTAGAGGTCAATTAATTGAAAAATTGACAGAGACATCAATAATAAACCAATGAAAACAACTTTCTTTCATCAAAGCAAACCAATCTCTCAACAATTATTTCTCTCACCAAAACAAACCAAACTCCCTGTTTTTTAGTCGATTCTGACACATACTGACCTTAGACAGAAAAGAACTGTTTCCTACAGTTTCCAAGGCTGTAAATCTTTACAGAAGAGGGCTGTCAAATTTTTCTCCTAAGGAGCAGCTAGCTGGTGGATTCAAACAGCCAACCTTCTGGTTTATAGCTGAATAACCACTGAGCCACTAGGGTTCCTTGACAGGGCTGTTGTTATGTGCCATCAAGCCACCTGCAATTCATAGTGACCCTATGTACAACAGCCCTAAACCCTGTTCAATCTTGTGCCAATCTTATTGTCACTGACACGCCTACCTCCATTACCCCAGTCACTGAATCAATCCATTTCATCGAGGATCTTCCTCTCTTGAGCATGACGTTCCTCTCCAAGAACTGGTCTCTCCTTGGAACATATCCAAAGTATGTCAAACAAAACTTCAGAATCCTTGCCTCCAAAGAGCAGCCTGGTCTTACCCTCTCTAGGATGAACCTGTTTGTTCTACTAGCAATCCATGGTATATTCAATACTCTTCTCCAGCACCATAGCTCAATGGCATCAATTCTCCTATCATCCCTAGTCATTGTTCAGCTCTCTGATGCATAGCAAGCAAACTGCAAAGGCTATGGCCTGGATCAGACTGACATCATAGGGGATCAAATTCTATGTATCTGTTGATGTCAAAAATTTACTCTAGAGATGACACCAAATAGAAGGGGAAGGCAAGCAAAGGCTCAGACAAAATTAAAATCTGAAGGCTTTTTCATCCAATAGAAGAATAAAAACTTCACTATAACGAAAGTCAGTATGATTTAAAAGAGAGGAAAAGCAGCCCTACATGCCAATTAGAAAGAACAACTGAGATGTTTGAGCATAAATAGTCTACACACGTAACAAAGTAATCATTCGTCATATATAATAATCACAAAATATTTTATTATTAAGGTCACTGCTTAACAGCAAACAATCTTTAGACTTAGCTCTAAGAAAAGTAAATAACATGAAAAAGATTTATTTAAGGCAACTTCAGTAAAATTTGAAAGCATGAAAAATAGCAGTTACAAAGAATAAGTAAAATAATGGAATTTTTTTTCTAATATATATAGAGAAAAGGGTAGTCTACTCCATCTGTGTAAGGGTTACTGTGTAAGGGGCAAATGCTTAATCAGTTTCATAGAGAATTCAAGGTTAAAGGCATAGCTTTGAAAGCAAGATCCTTCACTGAAAAAAGAAAGTTCCAGAAGAGAAAGAAGTCAGTCATCAAATACAAATGTCAAAGTTTTAAAACACAATTATTAAATGAAATCCTTGGATGGATGAGGCTAGAGGATCACTGCCCAGGGGCCTCCCCAGGTCTCTATGTGATGACAACAGTATGTCAGAACTACCTTACCACACACACAGCCAAGCCCATGTAAGGAACACATCCAGGTGAGGTATGATTCACATCATTAACATTCTTTTAAGTGATAAAGGACACTGGGCTCTATTATCACTATCCAGGGTATTTCAAAGTCAACAGAAAAAGAGGAGAAAGAACTCTGAAGGCAGACATATCAGTGCGGTGGGCACTAAAATGAATATAAAGTCATTTGCTTCTGTTTATATGATCAATTTTTCCAAAGTAAAAAAAAAAGGCCCTTAATCTTCTTTGCTGACAATCTTTTAAACAGTACAAACAACTTGTTCTGCAACTAAAAGGAAGCTCATGCAAAATTCAAAAGCTCTGCCTGGTTTAGACTGGAGCAAGCAGGATATTCAAATCCTGAGAGGTCAGCTCAACCTACACAGTGCAGAGTATTAGCTCAGCCTCTGAACGTGGCACTGCCAATTTCTTTTGATTTCTGTTTTACTTAATTTCCTTTGATGACAGCCCACACCTAATAAGCGCAGTGAATCCTATTAACACCAAAAACTTTCCTCTGCCTCCCCCAGTCCTCCAACTCACGCCTCTTCTTCTTTGACTCACACTGTCTTCCACTAACAGGATGAAAATCTAGGGGCCAGCCCAGGGTTTCCCTTGAGACTAGAAGTACCTCTGAGATGTCCTTACATAGCCTTTCTCCCCTCCACAAACAAAGCTTTGTCAGGACTCAAACCAGGCTATTTGCTCATGCACTCAGGTTCACATACCTTTTGGAAGGATCTTTCTGAAGACAGAGTGAAAGTAATTTTCTAAAGGACTTGCCGTACTTTTTCATCATTTCCTTATCCTCTATCCCCGTTTCTAAGGTGGGTGGGTCATTTTGCAGAGTCAACATTAACACCTGCAACAACAAACAGACGTGAAGACAGTGTAAGTGAAGCTACAGTCTAGTTTTCCATTTTTTACAATAGTATCAAAGAGCACCTCTGGTTAGGAGAAAATTTTCCTTTCCTTAATTTTCATGTTCCTTAATTACATATTGACAGTATTCATCTTCCTCTGCAAATGGGTTTATGTACCCTTTAGCCTTTTTTATTTTTCTAATTCCATTGACAAGACTTGCAAAATCCGTTCTGTGTGTTAAGAATGCATCTCTCAAAGGGATTGGGACAGAGCTTCCTGGGAACTGGCTCTCACACGGTCCCCAGGAGTACACAGCTCCAGACTCAAGTGTTATGAAGACTGGGCCTCAGCGTTACAAAGGTTGGAAGCGAAGGCCGGAGCAGCAGTGAGCGCTCATGTCTGCAGGTCATTCTTAAGTCAGAAATTGCCTGTATTCATGGCTTCTACGACACCTAGCCAACTCTAAAAATAAATCTACAGCATCCCAGGAGGTAATTTGATTTCCTTCTTTATTTTTTTTTCTTATTTTGGTAAATTAAAAAACATGCAGAAAGAAACTAAAAAAGCTTGGCTATAATTTGAGACAGCAAGACACTGAACGACCATGGGATACAACTGAGATGCAAAAGATTGTAATCAGGCCAAAGGGCTCTGCTCAGGATAAATAAAATCAAAATACAACTTCAAATCAAAAAAAGGAAAATTCCAGTCATTCACATGAGCATCTGCTTATTTAAAAAAAAAAAGTAAAATTTGCAGCAAACCACTGACCTATGTAATGAGTAAACCTCATTAATGCATAAATCAGTCTTAATTTATGCAAATGCTATGCATGCCAAGATGCTTTTCAAATACTTCCGGATGTGTGAACAGATGAAGGATTGAAGTGATAGTTCATTGTCAGTGGAGGATGATGACAAACAGAAGAGGACAGGGGCACTGAGAACACAGAAAGGGGGTCCCTGGAGCTCTAGATGGGGTGGTGGTTGTTGCTGATTGCCTTCAAGTTGAGCACAACTGATAGCAACCCTATGAACAACAGTCCTGAAGCCCCTCTACAACTATCTACATTTATCAAAGTTCATAGAATTTCTGGAGGCAAGTTGTTTAGGAAGTGGATGCCACTGTTATTCTGTGCTGTCATGTTGCATGTTTGAACCCAGGTCTCGATTCAGGTGGGAAACAGAGAGGTGAGGAAAGAAAGAAAGAAAATGAGGAATCAGAAGAAGAATCCAGAAAAACTATCATCACTGTTCATGTACTGTCGAGTGAAAATCCACTCATAGCTGACCCTCCAGAGTTTTCAGAGGCGGTTAATCACATGGAAGGAGACCGCTCACCTTTCTCCCATGGTGGATGCAAACTGCCTGCCTTAGGGTTGGCAGTGTAAGATGGAAGGAAAAGTCCTCAGAGGTGCTTTAGTGCTTTTGTCCCCCCAGAAGTTAATTTTAACATCAACTTGAGATTTTCAAGTCGTAAAATCATGAAGAAGTGGATAAACAGATTATTTTAAGGTATTGTGGTTATTAGGTGCCAAAGGAAGACAGAGTACAATCTTACTCTGTTAAATATTTGTTAAATATATTTAAGTATGTTGCTAATGTCACTGTTCATTATCACCAAATTGGCTATGACATCTAGTGACCCAAGGAACAGATCCGAACTTTGTCCTATCCTGTGACATTATCACTATTTCTGATCAATGCAGTATATACTAAATGTTTAAATAGCATGTATGTGTATACATATACAGAAGAAAGAGGAAATGAACTACAATATCTTAGGAGGTATTGTTACTCAGTTGATGGAATCTGTGATAATCATTTCTTTCTTGAAAGTTACTTGTACTCCCAAATTTTCCATAAGAATATGTTGTTGTTGTTGTTGTTGTTGTTGTTGTGTACTGTAGTGCTGAAAGTGACCCACAGATAACCCTCCAGCAGCAGGTTTTCAGAGGCAGTTAATCTCATGGGAAGAGACTGCCCATCCTCCCGTAGAGCAGGTGGTGACCTCAAATTGTGTGCCTTTGGGATTGCAATGCAGCTTCTTGCCACTAGGCCACAAGTGCCCTCAAGAATGTATTTTATTATTATTATTCTATAATTACATATTATATTATTATTATATAATAATAAAACTAACTTTTATTTTCAGCTTTTTACAAATAATCCTTCAATGTTTTTAATAATATTTGTCTAGGAAAAAGTTGAAATAACTATAGATTACCTATAAAATATTTGAACAATTTCACTTAACATTATCATCCTCCAAACAAAATCCAATTAGGTTAATCAGCCCTAGCACCACCATCTCAGAACTAGGAGAAAGAATTGTGAAAATAGAATAAAAGAACAATAATTTGCAAACAGAATCCAAAGCCTATTCCATTTCTAAGAAATACTGTGCTTCACAATATACAATGAGAGCAGGGCTAAAATATTATAGACTATTACCAAAAACCCCCTGACTTTTCAGGAAATCCCTCTGCAAAGGCATTATCATCATGATCTATTTTTAGTCTTTCTTTGGGGAAGTGCAGATATTCTGCTATCTAAAAGAGTAATGGCCAGCATTTGTCACAGTGATCAACCTTCATCAACCAATCTGATCACATTATTTTCTCAGCTCTGTGCAAAGAATGTAAAATAATCTTCAAAGATGAGAAATGCAGTACTTTTGTTCTACTCTATCCACAGGAAAAAACATTGCATAGCATAAACTTTGCTGTACACCTCCATTAATTCTACTCAGGTCTATGAGAAAAATTACTGTATTTAAAAGAATCAAGGAACAGATTTCCTTTAACTCATATTTCAAACCAGACATATTATTTCCAAGAGTAATTACTTTCATGGGAGGATATTTGTGATAAGGCGCTGCTCCTGTTGCTAATTCGATGGCAGTAATTCCAAAACTCCACATGTCAGCCTTGAAGTCATAGCCTCTCACCTAAGAAAGGAACCAAGAAAAAAACCCCAAATTATATAGCAGGCATGTTACAAATGACAAAGTCTGTATTACGATGTGTATTCCCATTACGATGTGTATTCCCACCTTTCATCACTCATTCACTCTCCCATTCACTGCCATCAAGTGGAAACCAACTCATAGCTGACCCTCCGGCAGGTTTTGGGGAGACTGTTAATGGCCTGGGAGGAGACTGCCCATCTGCCTCCAGTAGTGGTGGTGAGTCCAAACCCTCCGAGAGGTGCCGCCTTTGGTTTCAGTATAACTCCCTACCGACTAGGCCACCAGAGCTCCCTACAACTTTCACACTAGGTGGTTAGGTCCTAGTGAACAAGAATGAAATCTTAATTATATGATACATTTTACCAAAAAGATTCTACTGCTATACTTTGACAATCAAAACATCATGAGTTTTTTTTTTTACCTGTTCCATGACTTCAGGAGCCATCCAACATGGGGTGCCAACAAAAGTTTTCCTTACTTTATTTCGGGTAACATCACCCCCTGTGGCTAAGAATGCACTTACCCCAAAATCTGAAAGGGAAAAAAAATGAAAATAAGAAAACACATGTAATTCACTCTCGATTTATGTTAGACATTTCTGCTTAGAAATATTACAAGTATTAACTTTCTTAATATGTCCCTAAAGTGCTAATGAATTTTTCTAAAGGTGTTCATGAAACTTCTTCAGGTCCACCAAAGGCAGCCCTACCTTCTGCCATGCTCACATTTCAGAGAATACCAGCACTAGTAATGGATCAGCCAGCCAGCCCATCAGAGCAAAAGCTCAGCACATCACACTATAAAGACTTTCTGGGGTGGAGGGTGGGGGATTCCACAATCTTAACTGGTTATAAAGGATTACAATATCAATGAAAATATAAATGCATTCTGACAGAGCGACATAAACATGTTCTCAAAGCCCTAAACAGAATCTAGGATAGCTTTTCGCTAATATTTATTTTAGAAAACTATTTACAAGAATACCAAAGGTGGCTGTAAAATTAGCACCACTCTGTGTGTGGTGTAGTTTCTCCCCTCCCTTTTAAAATGATGAATATTTTCTAACCTCCATAATTCTCGGGCATCAGTTCTGAGAGCAGGTTTTGTTCATTTTAATAAAGAATGAATAACACTCATCTTTCATATTCAAATGCCCTTGCCTCAATATCACTCTCATAAACCTTAGCCAATATCCAAATGGCAACACCACAAATCCAGCTGCATGAAGCAAACATGTCCAGGTCTGTCCACACAGAGCAACCAACACAAAGGAAAAGTTCAGTCTGCAAAGACCATTGTTTTTTTCAAAGTTTGCATTCAGGATAATTTTTATAAGCACATATTAAATGGTTTATAAACTGAGATACTACTCTTTTTAAATATCTACAAAACACTAGCAGTTCTTCCAGAAAGAAGGTGAATTAATTAATTAGGCATACTCTATAGACACCCATGCATACATGCAAATGTGTATCTTTGTATTTAACAATGACCCTGTCAGCATTCATGCATGCACTTCTGCTTAGCATTTTACATGAAATATAAATGAATAAATTAAAAGGCTGGCTAGGATTAGTATAGATTAACCTACAAGAACTCACTCGCTGGTGAGCTACTGGATAGTACCCGAAAAGGATAAGCAGCAACTCAAAACACCCCGGCACACCACACAGTGTTAACACCCTCCAGCCTACTCTCATAATTCTCTGCTTTGCTAGTTTCCTTTGTTGATTGTCAGGATGACAGCAATTACCAGTGAATAATGTCAAGTACAAACCAAGGTCAAAATGTATTAGGTTTTGCTTTAGGCCTATAATGCTATGTATTTTTGTGACTTAATAGCATTGTAGCCAGTTCTCTGTGCTGAAATACATTCATGTTTCATTTTATTTACATTTAAATTTACCCAATTCCCAAGAGCATTTCAACTACAAGCAAAAGGAATAAAATTGACAAATGAAGTCTTTGTCCCGACTGCTATTTCCAACTGGTCTTGCTCAATATTGATATTGAGCAAAAGTGTTATTTTAAAAATGACCACATAATTTAATTTGCATATGTGTAGTTCACTCTCAAACTCTTTGAATGATTATATTATGGTCCGAAATCTAAACCCTTGTGAAAAGAAATCTCTGGAACCAATTAGCTGATTCCCATGGGTAAGGGAGATACAATTTATTCTCTTATGGAAGAATAAAAGGAAGTGAATTATTTATAATCAACCACCATATTTGAATAGAGGGGAAACATTACATTTTTTTTAAAATTCAAATTTCAATTTAATTTCTATCTGTAAATAAATCCAACACTTATTTTTTAGAATAATAATTTTGTTAATAAGATAATATAGGCTAAATATGCATCATCCGTACTGAACATATTGTGGAAAATGGTCTTAAATAACAGATTCTTGCATATGTGGTTGAAGCACCCCTACTACATCCCAAAGTTTGTTCCTAAAAGATATAATACAGATAAAATTCCATACATGCCTCCGGAAACTCTATGAACTTTGAAAAATGTCGATAGTTGTAGAGGGGCTTCAGGCCTTTTGTTTATAGGGTTGCTATGAGTCGTGCTCAACTTGAAGGCAATCAACAACAACAACTTTTCAATTTATTTTCACAAGAGAAAACAGGCAATCTCTTTCCTTACAGCCTCTGAAAATCCTCTGAAGGGTCAGCAGCTATGAGTCGATTCTGACTAGACAGCAATGAGTTCAAGGGCTTTTTGAAACGTAAATTCCTTCTAAATATTATTTGCTTATGTTAGATATTTTTAAAGCTGTAGAAATAGCCAAAAGATTAATAGCAGCAATTCATAGGGACAACACCCCTCAATATATCTTCCATAACTCATGTATTGATTCATTGCTTCCACTTAGACCATAAACATTTTTAAAACTCAGAACAAAACTTCTGAAAGCAGAAAAATACCAATCCTAACTAACATTTATTCACCCCGAAGATTATGGAATAAATATTCAATTTGCCCCTAAGTATGGCTAATGTGTATACAGAAAGATTTATGTGCACTGAAAAACAGAACATTTTGACCACAAGTACAACGTGTGCTTGTGTAACTAGGAAAATTGGTATATTCTGTTGAGACAGGTTTCATATGGCAGTGAGAACCAGGTGGCAGTAAGGGGACAGTATAAAGCGTCCTTGTTTCTGAAGGGATACATCTATATAGCCAAAGGGCACTGAGCCAGAAACACTTGGATCAGAAACCAAAGACATTTCTCGGGCAATACAGAATCAAAAAAACTACACATAAAGTTAACCAGTCCATCTCCCTGTCTCCCAGAATAACCACATCTAAAACCAAAGAGAATGCTGTCATCCAAGGAACTAAAAGGCTCTAACATCTGAATTCATCCACTTCTCTCACCGCTGCCACCTCCATTTAAGCCACCATGATTTCTTGCCAAGATTCCTGTGGCAGGAACACCCTCCTCCCTGGCTTTCCCCAGATCCATCCTCCAGGCACCAGACCTTCCACGAACAGAGGCTTTCTCCTTAAAAGTCATTAATGGCTCCTGCCCTTCACACCGACGTCTAATACCTCAGCCTAACACACAAATCAGAACCCCCTTTCCCCTCCTTGCTCATCTCTGCTTTCAAATCCAGACTCAGTGATCCAGCTCAACAATACCACTACTACCCACAGTGACAGCACACGACGGAATAAAACACATGGCAATCATGTGTCAGTCACACAACTGACTGTACACCTGACTCCTAGGATCCACAGGTTTACTTGGCTTTTTTGGTTGGTTTTTGGTTTGATTTTTGGTTCTTGGGGTTGGTTTTTTTTCCCCTTCAGACATAGATCACCAGACTTTTCTTCTTTGTACATCAAGTCTGAAACTTGTTTTGTATCAAAGCACCACACACCTCCAAGACAGACTAGTGGCAGGACAGTGACTGGGAATTGGACAAATTGGTCCTGCACAAAAGGTGAGAGTTCTATCACTGAAAGCTAAAACCAGAATCAAACTTGCTGCCATCAAGTCATTTCTGACTTACGGCAACTTATGTGTTAAAGATCACAACTCTCCCATGGTGTTTTCTTGGTTGCAATTTCTACAAACATTCGTCCCCAAGGTGTTTCTACGATGGATGGCACCACTGGGTGAGGTGGAGCTGCCAACCTTTGGCTTAGTGGTTAAGAATGAACTCTGCACCACTCAGGAACCACCCCACCACCCCAAGTACTTACTGTTTACTCTTGGAATCCATCACCATTTGTGCTCTCACCATATTTGCATTTGCACATGGTGCTACTTTGTCATTCAGGCTGATCATCCCAGGCCTTCCCCTCCTCATCAATAAGAGCTCAGCACTCAGAGCTGTGTATGGGCTTCACCTCACTTTGCTTCTCCAGGCCCCTCATAGCCAGATCATCACCTTCACTGACTTGCATGAGAGGAGGTATGGATGCACTATGCTTTCGCTTCAATGTGTAATGCCAGCCTTGGAATACTCGCTCGATGAGCCAAGGGCCATGTCTCAGCACCCATCCTCCCTGGCCCTGGGCCGGGCATGCAGATACAGTATCCAGTTATCTCAGCATCTCTGTGTCAATCACTATTATACATGCTGAGGACACAGCAGTGAACAAAACACAAAGAAATCCTTGTCCTGTGTGATTTCCATTGTAGAGAAAAAGAATCATAATCAAAAACTGAGTTTGATGGCGATTCACGTCATGGAGGAAAAATAAAGGGAGGAGGAGGGCACAGGAGGATGGTTTGGAGTAATACAATGCTAAATTGTGGTTAGGGACACGTTTATCAACAGGACTTGAAGAGGAAAGAGCAGGTCAGACCAGCAACTAAGCAGAACAAATCACAAGTGCAAAGGCATCAAGTATGCACTGTGACTGGAGAAAAGTGTGGGGTGGTGAACGCAGGGGGAGGGTAAGAGGGAAGGGAGTGCGGCACCCATGGCCAGGGCCTTTCAGGTAAGCTCTGTGGTGTTCACGCAAAGGTAGAAAGCCGGAGAAGGGCTTTTTGAGCATGGGGCTTTCAGGACCTGACTGTAGTGCTATAGAAGTCAAGGACACACACACACACACACACACACACACACACACCACTTAAGAGAGTACTACAATAATAATCTGATGGTAGAGGTGGAGGTGGGATAAGAAAACAATCTGATATTTTGATGGCAAAGCTAATATGATGTGCTGAAGAACTGGATATAGAAGAATCAAAAGAGAAATAAGAATGACTTGACACTTTTAGCTTAGGTCACCGGGAGATGCAGCTGGCATTAGCAACAAGGTGGAGGGAGTGCATGGGGAAATATGAGTCAGATTCTTAAGGTCATGGGGTTCTGGGGTTTTTAGTGGAATCCTAGAATAGACAATTTGTATGCATGCATGAGAGAATATCAATTTGAGGGACACTGCAAATAAAGTATTTAACCCCTATTTCCTGAATACATTCATGAAAAGTCTGACTAAATTCTCTACACTCATAGGCAGGGCCACATGATTTGCACACTCAGTTCAAAGTGAAA